TGCCAACCAATTCACTGTGCATGCCCAGAACTACGTCACGAAGTGCTTCGGGGAACCTCCTCATATAATGCAGAGCAAATCATGTGCTATGGTTATTCTTAATATAGTGCGCGGTAGATTATGTGTTATGGCTAATCTCGGAATAATGCGCGGCAAATCACGTATTATAGTTCTTCTCAGCATAGTGCTTAAACTTAAAGCAAATCATGAAACAATTGATTCCAGAGTTTAATTAGCTCTACATTGGAGATTATGTTGTGCTTTCTGCTATTTTCATGCGATACGTGTTAAAAAAAAATTGTTAAAAACAGCTATGTTTTCACATTAGAAGACAATAGTTGAGAAATGCCTACAGTAAAAGAAAGTAAACACTTTAGCTTTACATTGGAGATTATCTTATTCGATACATGTTAAAAAAAAAAGTTGTTAAAAACAGATATGTTCTCACATTAGAAGACAATAGTTGAGAAATGCCTACAGTAAAAGAAAGTAAACACTTTAAAATAAGGTATGGTCTTAGAAAAAATTACCCGTCTTCCCATCACGCTTAGGACAAGCTACTGTTGCCCACTGTAGATATAAATATATATGTATAACTTTTCTAAAACCACGATAATTGGTTGTCCATATTCATTGCCAGACAGTTAAGATTTAAATATCGACTTTTCGGAGAGTGCAATTCAGATAGCTTACGCTGCCTCGTTAACCTGTTTATTATCAGTTGAATCTAAAATATGTCTTAATGGTGCATTTAGTTATCTAAGGGAAGACATTCACAAACAAAACTATGTTGAAACTTTAACAGAATATTACCGTCAAATGATCATACAAGTTTTTGTTTGTTTGTTTTTAAGCCAAGGAAAAAGGAGGACAGGCGTGTGTTAGTTGTTAGCTCCCCGAGCTCTAGCTCGTGAGGTGTAAGACGTGAGACGCGATGTGTCGCGGAACAACTCCAGACTTTCAACTGTGGAGGCATTAAGTTTCACGGCAGACAACCCCGCTATTCGGTTAAGAGTATCTGTGTAGGCGGTGGGTGCTGCTGACTGGTTCCCTCTCTCTCGTCAGCAGTTCTAAAGTAGAGATGACCATGCCTGAGGTACGATTAGAGATTCTAAATAGGGTTGAAGGGAAATTATTAAAACCGTTTAATAGTTTATTTTTCATATTTCAAATGCACTTTTGTCAAGATTTATTATTTAAAACTTAATTTTAAAATATGAACAAATCCTTTAAAGAAATCCTGTCTTACCCTACAAAGGCAAAAACATTTTGTTATCAAAGATCTTACAAACATTGTAACCAAAGATGAACATTTTTTGTGACGTCAGTCTATCGAGCATGACATCTTGTGATATGTACGAAACGGCTCTTACAGCGATAATAATCAAGTCGTAGCTTGCCCACGACAAGTTTCTCTAAAACACACGTAAAAAAAAAACTCATGTATGCACGACCAACATTTTGTGCACTATTTAGGGTAGTGGAAGGCCACTTACGTGAGCTTAACAATATTGATTATTATTACGTACAAGAGATACTTATTGTAAGTATTTACAATAAACATTCAGTTCTCACAACTTTATTATTCAAATTCTTATTTGTTGCTGAGAAGGTATTTTCTTGAATCTTCAAGAAAAACTCCTGGAATTATATGTTGTGCAGGAGTACGATTCATTCTTTAAAACTGTATTGATTAGAAATTAACATGTTTGTTTATTATTTGTTGTCGAGTTCTGTTCTATTGTAGCTTTTTACAACACTAATTGATCAGTCTATATTGTAAAAGGTTACAAGTCATAATTAGTACTACAAATCAATTCCCCCACATTGTTATATGAATTCTCGACGTTTTATATAGCCGGTCACAAATTTCCATATAAATTACTACATTTTTATTAAAAAAACAACAACAAAAACGATCTATTCAGCATTGTTATGAAATCAAACAAACGTTACACAAAATTCGGGGAATATAGAATGAAAAATTTCCATATATAATTTCACAAAACATTGAATTTTATTACACAGTCTTAACCTTACATGTTTGGGAAAATAAGTCCATTTGCAAGTTGGTGTACATTATTTCTAGCTATAGTCTGGTAATTTCACTCTGACACATGGTATACATTGAAACAATACCTCAGTTCTGATGATCCAGTTACGATAGAAAAAAAAAATGTTTCTAAATAAATTATGACTACAACTAATTATGTTCTGATGTTTAATCTTTAGACTTTTCTATTTTGTATCTGATTGAAGTAGATGATTTAATATTTGTAAATTCAGAAGAAAGAGCCAAAAATTTCTCGCATTTACAAAGCTAAAAATTGTTCATTTTCAAACCTAGTAAAGACTATTGGAGTAAAAAATTACCGTTTTCGGACATAAAGCTGTGGAAAAGCAGTGCAGTTAAAATTTAGACTTTTTTTTAAACCATTTTTAACTGCTAACAACAATAATGCTGGACGTTAGAGCTGTAAGTGGCAATAATTTGTTTTAGGACACTTGTTATGAGTCAAGTTCAAACCACCTTGATCTAGCACTAACAATAATATTCTGTACAAAATATGGTTCATGGACAAGCAAGTGGTAAAAGAGCTCTTTGGATATGGGACTCCTTATGAGTTAGATGGTGGTCATTTGAAAAACTTGAGTCAGTCATCGTCTTTACAAATAACGTTTTGAAATATTATTTTTAATATCAGAATGTTGTAGTTCATACTGTTATCTTACCGATATCACGTGCACGATAACCAAATCCATCACTAATTCATTAGTAGTTCCACGATCCCAGTTCTCGTAAACAGATAAGCACATATCCAAAATATATGTACATAGTGGTCAAAATATCTACTATTAATCAAGATAAAATATCTAAAATCTTCCAAGAATACAGTCACAATGGTCCGGACGTCTGAAAGTTTTTTGTTTCTTTCCAATGACGTTGGAAGCACAGTGTAGAACACTTCAGAAATGCGGAATAATATTGTTTTATGTAACAGATCCTCAGAAGAGTGACATAAAGGTTTTCTTACTAAACAACTGATAGCTGAAGACAACTTACAAACAATTCGGTTATACTGAATCGTGTTCAGAGGCAAACTTGTTATATGTCATTCAATATATAGCTTCAAATAACCTAGTTCAAGAATACAATAATTTATGATGTTTAGTTGCCATAGCAACCTCCGATAGTTTTATATCAATGGGCTCCTGGTTGTCATAGAGCGTTGGTGCATGGAGTATGATGCCACACGTGCCCACTAGAACAGCTACTGTAAAGATCCAGAGAAACAGTCGATCCAATACCATAGCAACGTACTTCCAATCTTCTTTCATCTGAATAAAGTGTAATTATATTAATTCTTCACTACAGTATGGAGATTAAGATAATTTTCCATAATACTCTAAACATTATATTGTTTAACTTTGGTGATTTTTTACAAAACCAAAAATGCACATTTTACACTTCAAAATATTTCAAACTGTCACATTCAGTTTGTTTTTTGAATTTCGCGCAAAGCAGCACAAGGGCTATCTGCGCTAGCCGTCCCTAATTTAGCAGTGTAAGACTGAGGGAAGGCAGCTAGTCATCACCACCCACCGCCAACTCTTGGGCTACTCTTTTACCAACGAATAGTGGGATAGACCGTCACATTATAACGCCCCCACAGCTGAAAGGGCGAGCATGTTTGGTGGGATGTGGATTCGAACCCGCGACCCTCAGATTGTGAGTCGAGCGCCTTATCCACCTGGCCATGCCGGGCTTCTCAGAATGGCATAATAAAATGCGAAAAAAACCTGTTGAGAAAACATATTTAATGTAAGCCCCCCAATGGGTCAGTGGTAAATCTGACGGTTTATATCGCTAAAAATGGGGATTCGATACCTGTGGTAAGTACAAAACAGACAGCCTATTCTGTAGCTTTGTGCTTAACAACAACAAATAAAAAAAAATCTTAATTTAATATAAAGAAAAATTTATTTTAAAATTTGGTTGATATATTTTCGCATGATTATTTCGACAAGATAAATTTCTTTGTTTACTTAACGCTAGCAGTTTTTAAGCAAGTCTTTAATTTGTTACAATTATATACGAAGAAAACTACGCAACAATATTTCATTTCGTATTAGGCTTAATTCAGAGACGTAGAAAAAAAAATCGATTCTTACCAAAATCTTAATAATTAAATCCCATAAAAATGAGATTATATACGAAGAAAAATACGCAACAATATTTCATTTCGTATTAGGCTTAATTCAGAGACGTAGAAAAAAAATCGATTCTTACCAAAATCTTAATAATTAAATCCCTAAAAAAAAATACCCATTATCTACGTCTTATATATCTAAAGGAAAGATGTAAGAATTAAGAAGGCAAATAATATTATACACTCATTTATAATTTGAGATCCCTTTTGAATTACCGTTTTATAGGCTTAAGTATGAGAAAAAAATACGTGGTTTTTTTTTTTTGGATTCTTATATTACACGAACGCTTGGAAACTCAAGGAATAAAGTTTTCTTCATAACAAGATTAAAATATATAAAGATGTAAAAGACTTATGAGATATGAACTAACTTATGTTTTATAATACAGCTTTAAACTATAAAAAAATACCTAATATTGTAAATAAAAGAATACCTTCCCATTAAGAGAAATAATACTGTTACATCATACTTCATACAGCTTACAGAATCATTAATAATTCACAGCACAACTTAAGTTTCTTTAGTTCGTGACTCCTTTCGGATTATGCTGTCCCTATTTTACTACACAAACATCAATAAGGCCTAAAAGTCATTCATATGATAACAAGATTATTATTAGCTGAAGTTATGTAAATTCGTGATTAATGAAAGGTTGGTTATCTTAGGACATGAAAAGTTGCTTCTCTTATATGGAATTGTGAAAAATGACCATAACAACTGCAAAACAGAAAATGAGAAACCGCAAATTTTCATGTATCGCCGATTGAACCCATCAAACCTCCATGCCAATTTTGGTGAAGACCTGTCAACAGAGGGCGAAGTAGTGGTAAAAAAACGCAAAAAGGCCCATAAAATCTGCAAAATTCAAAATTTGTAGGTACCCCCGCGTGGACTTAATAAACCTCCATACCAATTTTGGTGAAGATCCATCCACACCCTGCGAAGTAGTTACATGGACATACAACAGACACATCATTGGCCAATATTCAGTTCTTTACATTATATAGCCACACAATAGTAGGTATAATAAATAAATCATTGGCCAATATTCAGTTCTTTACATTATATAGCCACACAATAGTAGGTATAATAAATAAATCATTGGCCAATATTCAGTTCTTTACGTTATATAGCCACATAATAGCAGGTATAATAAATAAATCATTGGCCAATTTTCAGTTCTTTACATTATATAGCCACACAATAGTAGGTATAATAAATAAACTTAATATTCCGAAAACTGTTTAATCAGGGTTACTGATGAGGAGTGGAATTATCTGAAACCAGTATAACACACGTTGATCAAAGTATAGATTGAACAGGACCTCCCTTGAACTTAGACTTCGAAATTAAACAGGTTCCAGAATACAAAGTTTATTTATTGTATTTACCCTTCAGAACTTACTGTGGAAAAAAAAAAAGATTTTTCTCTGAAACCAATTCATGTTACTTGTAACATGTAACTTAACGAAATGTTTCTTTAACCAAACATTTAAGTTCAAAGTTTTCAGTAAAACTGATACTTTTGAATTTTTTTAATTTCCCATTTCCGAATTTGAATATTCCAAAGAAATTAGGTTACAGTGTTTGGTATTCATATCTTATTATATAAAATAGAAAGTTAGTCAAAGTTTTAAGATCTTCGTAAGCTAACTCTTATTTTTGTATTTTGAACAGCAGTTTTGTGGTACCGCTTCTGGGATAAATATTTCTAAAGACTGCCATGAAGTTTTCAAAGCTATCGCTATTTCTGAACTCATATTTTCGTGTATCAATAGCCAGTTTTAGTTTGGCAACAACCGTTTACAATTTTATCTCCTGCTATTTACAGAAAGCTAGTCACTATGTTATTATTTTAGTTACATTGTTTTTGTTCACAACTTTAACTGTTATACTTACCATTCTTTTCATTGTTTAAATCTTACTAATATTTTTCTTATTTCATTATCTCTTATACATTTTTGCTGGTTCTTAGGGTTTAATGTTGTTTGTTATTTCTGATTTCCCGCTTTTTATATTGATCATGTTTGTCAGAGATAAATGTGGCCTTGGTACAAGATTAGTTTATTGAGATGTTTATTTTGTATTGTCAGCTGTATTGATTTAGGCCTAACCTAAGTTTCCTAAGCTGGCTGAGCCTAGTATTACTAGGATTACGACGGAAGATCCGATAACAGCCAGGGTACCCAATTAATGAATTAATGATTCTAATATTTGTTTTATGTCATTGCATACTTTTAATTAGACGTTTATACTAAATTAAGTACATTATTTACTAGGTTAGTTTTTAGTTCTGATATATCTGTACAAATATAATAGTATTGTCTGTTGTATGTATCTACATAAATATAATAGTAGTGTCTGTTGTATGTTATCTATATAAATATAATAGTACTATCTGTTGTATGTTATCTATATAAATATAATAGTACTGTCTGTTGTATGTATCTATATAAATATAATAGTACTGTCTGTTGTATGTTATCTATATAAATATAATAGTACTATTGGCCAATATTCAGTTCTTCACATTGTATAGCCACACAATAGTAGGTATAATAAATAAATACCTTTCCTTCACTTCACCCATCCAGTGTATAGGTTTTTTTCATAGTGACTACAAAGCACGTTCACACCAACAGTATGTTTGAAGGGTAAATACATTAAGAAAACCTTGATGATTAAGTAAAAGAATATCATCAATATATTTACAAGTGCAAAAAGCTACATGAGGGCTACACATGTGCCAGCCGTTCCTAATTTAGCAGTGATATATTAGAGGGAGGGTAGCTAGTCAATACCACCCACCTCCACCTCTTGCGCTAGTCTTTATCAACTAATAGTGGGATTGGCCATAACTTTATAACACTGAAAGAGATTGTGAGTAGAGCACCCTAACGACCAGGCCCTTAAGCGCGAGTGATGTGTAAAGCTTTATTGGTGTTTTTTACTAAAATTTGTCATTTATTAAACTTCCAGTAAATATAAATTTGTAACTTGGGGTTTAAGTTACCTTCATATTCTCTATATACTCTGAAACATTTGTTGGCCGGATTAAATTGTGCTAACAAGTAACAATATATGCACTTGTAAGAAGTCGTATATTGTAATAATTTAGGTATATAGAGCTTGTAAGATGTCATTTGTTGTAATAATTTAGATATTATGGTTATATTCTAATCCTTCTTTATATACATATGTGTTTACTTTGAGAATTATCTTTCATTGTTAACGTAGTATATGGATCTAGGACTAACATAAATCTCTAAATTAAACTGGCCTCGTGAGCTATTATTGGGATTACAGCCAACAACGTCACTAACGGCATGGGTATCCAACTGATGAGTAAATGCATTCTAATCATTATATGTTAGAACGTTACATTAAACATTCTAATCTGTATAATTTAGAACGTCACATTAAACATTCTAATCTGTATAAATTAGAACGTCACATTAAACATTCTAATCTGTATAAATTAGAACGTCACATTAAACATTCTAATCTGTATAAATTAGAACGTCACATTAAACATTCTAATCCGTATAAATTAGAACGTCACATTAAACATTCTACTCTGTATAAATTAGAACGTCACATTAAACATTCTAATCCGTATAAATTAGAACGTCACACTGAACATTCTAATCTGTATAAGTTAGAACGTCACATTGAACATTATAATCTATATAAGTTAGAACGTCACATTCAACATTCTAATCTGTATAAATTAGAACATCACATTAAACATTCTAATCTGTATAAATTAGAACATCACATTAAACATTCTAATCTGTATAAATTAGAACG